CCCTCCCTCCTTCCATCTCTCTTTTTCCTTTCCTTCTAGGCCCCCCCCACCCAAGGATCCATGAATTCACCAGAGAACCACAGAACAACAGGCAAAGAGGGAGAAAGCATTCCCCCAGTGGTTTTACCATTCATGAAATTTTCTACAAGTTTAATTTCTTTCAAATAAATATGTTTTAAGTACAGATCATTGACTACATACTCCTGAGTTTTACCTAACCTTTAAGATGTTGGGCTTTTGATTCACACAGCTACCAGCCACACCCAGATCTCAGTACTGTGCACCGCCAACTTGAAAAACTTGTCTTAGGTTCTGTCCAAGGCAAGAACCTGGATCTTCTTTCCACATTTGAAACATGAAAATATTTCAACAAAACTTTGCAAAATACTGAGAAAGAATACTCTCCTCAATTTTTTAAAATTTAATTATATACACATTTTAAAAAGAACCCAAATTTCACAGAACCATGTTTATAGCACCTAACTCTGAATTTCTTTATTTGGTGCTACCATGTCATTTGTCTTCTGGAGTTTTCTGATGTAACTGGTTGATAGGAGTTTTGTTTGCTTTGCAGCCAATTACCTCTTCTCTACCAGATTTCCATCTCCCAAACATGTGCTGAGTTTTTTCTTATTTCCTCTCCTGGTGTTACCATACTCAAGCACTTATTTTTAAATACTTAACATATAAAAATTTTATTTAAATAGGGTTCACATACCATACATTTCACTTTTTTAAAGTGTATAATTTAATGATTTTTAATATATTCATAGAATAGTGAATCCATCACCAGAATCATTTTTAAACATTTTCATGATTTCAAAAAGAAGCCCTGAGGGCCAGCAGGTAGCATGGTGTTTAAGGTACTGAACTCTCAAACCCATGATTTGAGTCCCAGACCTGGCAGCTTACTCACTTTCCTGCTTTCTCTGGTCACATTAAATAATAATAAACAAAATTAAATAAAATAATTCTTTTAAAAAAAACCCAACACTGTACCTTTTTTCTATCATGTCTCACCCCCACTCATCCCCCTGGCCCTAAGCAACTACTTTCTCTACAGAAAATTCTGGACATATCAGTAGATTTATTTGTGACTAATGACTTTCATTTTTCCTAGCCTAATGGTTTCAAGGCTCATTTTTGTTGTAGAATATATTGTTACCTTTTTAAATAGCTGAATAATATTCCATTATGTGGTTATACCACATCTTGTTTATCTATTCATTAGTTGATGGACATTTGGGTCTTCATCTTTTGACTGTTATAACATTAATGTATAGTCGACACATTTTCATGTGGATATACATTTTTATTCTCCTTGGATATATACCTAGGAGTGGAATTACTGGCTTACATGGCAACTCTATGTTGAACATTTTGAGGAACTGCCAAAATGTTTTTAAAAACAAAATCTATTTTATATCATTTTACTTTCTTGCCAGGAATGTATGAGACTTTCAGTTTCTTCACATTCTCTCAAATATTTATCTGACTTTTTTATTGTAGCCACGCTAGTGAATGTGAAGTGGTATCTCATTGTGGTTTTTATTTTCATTTCCCTGGTAAGTAATGATGTTGAGCATCTTTTCATATAATTCTTTGGTTTTAATGGTATTTTGGGGCGGAGAGGAGATAAGTCTGTTTGATCTAACATATATAACTGGAAACACAGTAGCTCATTTGGATGTGACAGGAAAACAATTTCTTCTGAATTTTGGAAACTATATAGTAATCTCAAGTTTTTATCAACATGTACATTTCTATGTCTATCCTTTCTTTATATTGTAGTTACTGTGTGAATAAGAGACTGAAATATTATGCATTGAATTTATTTTGTAAGATTACATTTTGTATGGAGTTGGAGGGAGGAATTTACCCAAATGATTTCTCAGTGTTGACTAAAAAGTAGAAAGAAAGGACTGATTGCCAAAGCCTAGATAGCTCAGTGATTTTTAGTAACTGATGCTGTGTATACTGTTGTAAGCATGATCCTCATGCGGTAAATACCAAAGGGACGTAACCCTGGACTACAGCCTATCTTATAAGAGATGGATGACAAAGTCTTTAAATGGATTTGGCACTTTGTTTCAAAGAAGTGGAGCATAATACATGCCACATGACTGGGTGGTGGGTACATGGGGAGTTATACTGTTTTTTGTTCTTGGGTATGTAAACATTTTTCTAGTAAAAGATTTAAAAATAAAAGCTGTCGAGTGCCTTTTGAGGCAAGTGGGCAATATGAGTATCTGGCAAAGGTGCATTAAACCATGAAGACTAGAGTTTAGCTCTCTTTCAATGAAGACATTCCTTTGAGGTTGAGAACCTACCTGAAAAGGAAGCATCTTTCTGCAAAACAGGAAAAAATAAGGAAAGGAAGAATAGGTACAGTATTTGGGAAAGATTTTGATGAAAGTTTCCATCAGATGCCTTCTACTTCCTCTATGAATTGTGAGTCTAGCACATTGAGTAAGTGGAGGCGGCCTAAGATTGAGGAAAGTGCAGAGGTTCGAAATGGGTTGGAGTAGCATGAAGAGAGTGGGCTAAGGAAACAGTGACCTAAGCACCATTTGTTTCATTCACTGTTAATAAGGACAGGGTAATGATTTGCAGAATAAAAAAGTGAATTATTTCTAGGTAGTGGGTTGACCATAAATTTATCATGGTGCCACTACTGGCACTCACTCGACTATGACACTTAATCCAATAGTCATCAGTCATTTGTAGGAAGGCATTTACGGAATAGTTAGAGAAATGGGATTATTTTAGACAGGAAAGATTGAAGGGGATTAGATGAAGCCTTTTTAAGTGCTACTTGATAGGTCATAAAGTCTGCCTTGAAGAGGGAAGAAATGAAAATAAGAGCTTAGCAGATAAATAAGCAAGTGGAAACATTAATGACATGGAATTTTAAAATTGACAAATTGACAACATGTGCTGGAAGGATAAGGAGATGAGGTCCTATCCTCATAGGAATGTAGAATGTTGGTCTATATTATTCCTGATGGCAGTAGTATTCTGGATGATGAGTTCTGGGCAGTAAATGAGCTGGAATGGAAATAAAGAACCTTGAGATGGGACAGTAGAGGAACTGGGAAGCCAGGTTACTGGTTGGTCTATCCACATGGTTATTGGGACCCTCCACCAATTCCCCACCCTTCCTTTGTCCTCCCCGGGTCCCTCACAGAATCTGCATTCTTTCTGCAACCCAAAGCCTTCAGACACTTCAGGTCAATGATAAGACAAAAAGATTGGGTGTGAATATCAGATGAGGTGTATGTGGAGGAGTGAGGTCTAATGAAGGACATTTGGAGAAGGGATACGGAGGTAGAATATTGACGGGAGGGGGAAGTGTGGTGTTATCAGTTGAAGATATTTTGATCAACGGGACTGGGGAGAAATATTCACATATTGAAATGCTCACATTGTAGGCTAAACAGTGCGATTGAATGTATATACAAAAAGAAATAAATTTTAAAAATTCAAAAAAAATGATAAGACAAAAAGAAGTATGAAAGAGTTAAGGGCTATAGTGGACATCTTGTTTTTGACTCCTAGCTCAATTTTGTTTGCACATTTTTCTGGAAATACTATCTCAAGGGCCTGCTAGAAAACTTACCCCATGTTTGAGTCTCAGTCTATAAAAGTGCAGTTGCCTTCCCTCCAAAACTCTGTTTTAAGGGTGGATAAGCATACAGTCTTATTCAAAAAGAGCATTCTGTGGAGGTCCATCATGACTCCATTGGTACCTCCTTAGATCACTAGCTATAGGTGTTCTGGGTAAGGTGTACCATGACTATCCTAATGAATAGAAGCTTATAGGTGATATCTCTTTCCTGATAGGTGAATTGTATACACCAAGGGCAATATCCCATGTGTTATCATCAAGCATGGCTAGAAGGTGGGTACCAAGATTACCTTCCCTAAACTGAAGGGCTGTTATGCCTGACAACAGCCCTGAAGATATTCTTCTGGAACTTAAGAGAACAGCCACCATATACGCTTCTGCCAAAGTATCAGTAAGTGTCACAGTGCCTGGGTTAGCCTCAATAAAGTGGTTTCTTCATCACATTGGGTAAAGGCAGAGCAGAAGAGAGTCATAATATAGGAATGATAGTCTAAACTTTTGTTTCACCTGCAAGGTCAGTCTTTCCTCTTTCATTTTTTCCCTACTTTTCCCACTCACTCTAAGGTGTCTTTTCTTTATTCTCAACATTATTTTACTGAGAGTGGGGTAGGTGGCTGTCTAGTCATCATATCCTTTCTGGTATGGGATCCTTTTGCTCTGAAAAAATGTCATCAGTCCAAACAGCCTGAAGAAATGCCTAGTGAGGGGAACAACTATCCCCAAGGTAAATTTCAAGTAAAGAAACCTCAATGGCAAAATATGCTTCCTCAAGACATTAACGTGCCTCCCATGAGAGATTCTTAAGCAGCATCTACCCTTTGTCTACATCCCACCCAACCAGCCCAGTATCCACTGGAGCAATGCACTTCAAACAATACCTCTGATGTTCACTTACCTATGGACCCTCTGATCATTGATTTTTTTTTTTTGTAAAATGATTAAGTAACAATATTCTGGAAAAATATACCTTTTACCCTTTCTCTTCAGTTATAAAAGATTTATTTCCTTACTGCTCAAAAGGATATGAAACTCAGTGAGGGATAAGATATGGACTGCCATACAATGTTGTTAGGCTAAATTAAGAGGTAGGAAACAGAATCCATCCCTCAAACTTCCTCAGGCGGGAAGAGACCTTTCTGAGACTCATGGTTTCTGTTCTTTAACAAGAGCTTAAGGGGACCGATCAACCTCTAGAAGCCAAAAGAGAGAATCAATAAAAACTAAACAAACTCATTCCTTTTCCTAAGCACAAGTCCTGAGTTACCCCAAATCCATGCTTCCGACACAGTATGCAGAAAAGACACCAATCTTATTAGAACATTTATTGAGAGTATTTATATTCTCAACAAGAAATGAATTATTTAGAGTGGGAGAGGAATTTTCCTCCCTAGAAATGCTAAAGCATCATCCAAATAAATAGTAGAGAAAAATCTATCAGCACAATGCCTTCAGTAAGTGGAGGGGAGGCTGGAGGCACCTGCTACATAACACCTGCAGGTGAAGCTTCCATGGCACATGCCTCCTTCTGGGGCATGGATAGAGTCTGGTTATGCTCCTTGTTTTCCAGTTTAACCTTTAACCCCACCAATTGATGATTTTTAAGGACTGGTGACCTAGGATCTTGGAGAACTGATATTAGAGAGGGACTTTCAGTGTTCAAGGTAGTTTCTACCTTATTCATGTTCACAGTCTTCACTGGGAAGATTTTGGGTTCACTGGTTGCCAAGGTGATACTAGGTTGTGAGTCAAGGGCACAGAGCTTCTTTGCTTTGACTGTCTCCCTAGATATATTAGACATGTAAAAATGTTTTAAATTTGTTGACCTTTTGTCCTGAGGTCTCTCTACTTTATTGGTAGAACTCTCTCTCTTATCCCTTGGCTCAGGGTCAGTCCCAGCTTGCCCAGTGAGCATCTCTGAGCTGCATCTATTAGCTAGGACAGTCAGTTTCTGACTTGCATTGTCTGTGATACTGTGTGTGTGAGGCAGAGGCAGCCATCTACAATCATAAAGTCTCTCAATATCCTGTGTAAGCCCATGGTGGATATCAGAGGGTGGTTGTCTTAAGGCCTCCTGTCCTTCCTTTTCCACAGTTAAGATGGCAGTGAGAGGATGGTATAGGACAGGAGCTGCATTTGTTTCTATGTTGTCTCTGTGAAAACTGTTACTATTTCCTTGAAGGGGTTTGGAGACTCTATATTTGGAATCCACCCCAGAAATATCGGA